ATTTCAGACATCGTCTGAAAGAAAATTGAATATACTTGATTTAGTATATTCTGATGTTTGTGGTCCAATGGAAATTGAATCGATGGGCAGTAACAAATATTTTGTTACTTTTATTGATGATGCTTCACAAAAATTATGAGTTTATATTTTGAAAACCAAATATCAGGTGTTTCAAGTTTTCCAGAAGTTTCATGCTCTAGTAAAAAAGGAGACGGGTCGAAAGCTAAAACGTCTCCGAAGTAACAATGGAGGTGAGTACACTTCAAGGGAATTTGAAGAGTACTGTTCTAGTCATGGGATCAAACATGAAAAAACAGTTCCTGGAACCCCACAGCACAATGGCGTAGCCGAGAGGATGAACTGCACCATTGTTGAGAAGGTGAGAAGCATGCTCAAAATGGCTAAACTACCTAAGTCATTCTTGGGTGAAGCAGTTCAGACATCCTGTTACCTGATCAATAGGAGTCCATCAGTTCTATTGGCGTTTGATATCCCAGAGAGAGTTTGGACCAACAAGGAGGTGTCCTACTCACACCTGAAGGTGATTGGTTGCAGAGCTTTTGCACATGTATCAAAGGAGCAGAGAACAAAGCTGGATGATAAATCTGTTCCCTGCATATTCATTGGATATAGAGATGAAGAGTTCGGATACAGATTGTGGGATCCTATAAAGAAGAAGGTCATTAGAAGCAGAGATGTAGTCTTCCGAGAAAGTGAAGTTGGAACTGCTGCTGATATGTCAGAGAAGGCCAAGAATGGTATAATTCATAACCATGTTACTATTCCTTCTACTTCTAACAATCCCACAAGTGCAGAAAGTAGGACCGACGAGGTTGCCGAGCAGGGGGAACAACCTGGTGAGGTTATTGAGCAAGGGGAGCAACTTGATGAAGGTGTCGAGGAAGTGGAGCACCCCACTCAAGAAGAAGAACAACCTCAACCTCTGAGGAGATCAGAGAGGCCAAGGGTAGAGTCATGCAGGTACCCTGCCACAGAGTATGTCCTCATCAGTGATGAGGGGGAGCCAGAAAGTCTTAAGGAGGTGTTGTCCCGTCCAAAAAAGAACCAGTGGATGAAAGTCATGCAAGAAGAGATGGAATCTCTACAGAAAAATGGCACATACAAGCTGATTGAACTTGCAAAGGGTAAAAGACCACTCAAATGCAAATGGGTATTAAACTCAAGAAAGATGGAAATGGCAAGCTAGTCAGATACAAAGCTCGATTGGTGGTGAAAGGCTTCAAACAGAAGAAAGGTATTGATTTTGACGAAATTTTCTCACCTGTTGTCAAAATGACTTCTATTCGAACAATTTTGAGTTTAGCAGGTAGCCTAGATCTTGAAGTGGAGCAGTTGGATGTGAAAACTGCATTTCTTCATGGAGATTTGGAAGAGGAGATTTATATGGAGCAGCCAGAAGGATTTGAAGTAGCTGGAAAGAAACACATGGTGTGCAAATTGAATAACAGTCTTTATGGATTGAAGCAGGCACCAAGGCAGTGGTACATGAAGTTTGACTCATTCATGAAAAGTCAAACATACATAAAGACCTATTTTGATCCATGTGTATACTTCAAAAGATTTTCTGAGAATAATTTTATAATATTATTGTTGTATGTGGATGACATGTTAATTGTAGGAAAAGACAAGGGGCTAATCTCAAAGTTGAAGGGAGATCTGTCCAAGTCATTTGATATGAAGGACTTGGGCCCAGCACAACAAATTCTAGTGATGAAGATAGTTCGAGAGCGAACAAGCAGAAAGTTGTGGCTATCTCAGGAGAAGTACATTGAACGTGTACTGGAATGCTTCAACATGAAAAGTGCTAAGCCAGTCAGCACACCTCTTGATAGTCATCTAAAGTTGAGCAAGAAGATGTGTCCTACAACAGTGGAGGAGAAAGGGAACATGGCTAGAGTTCCTTATTCTTCAGCAATCGGAAGCTTGATGTATGCAATGGTTTGCACTACACCTGATATTGCTCACGCAGTTGGTGTTGTCAGCAGGTTTCTTGAAAATCCCGGAAAGGAACATTGGGAAGCAGTCAAGTGGATACCTAAGAGGTACTGTAGGAGATTGTTTGTGCTTTAGAGGATCTGATCCAATCTTGAAGGGCTATACATATGCCGATATGGCAAGTGACATTGATAACAGAAAATCCGCTACTGGATATTTGTATACATTTTCAAGGGGAGCTATATCATGGCAGTCTAAGTTGAAGAAGTGTGTTGCACTTTCAACAACTGAAGCAGAGTACATTGCCACTACAAAACCTGGCAAGGAGATGGTATGGCTCAAGCGGTTTCTTCAAGAGCTGGAATTGCATCAAAAAGAGTATGTCGTCTATTGTGACAGTCAAAGTACAATAGACTTGAGCAAGAACTCCATGTACCATGCAAGAACAAAGCATATAGATGTGAGATATCATTGGATTCGTGAGCAGGTGGAGAACGAATCTTTACAGGTCAAAAAGATTCACACGAGTGAAAATCCTGCGGATATGCTAACCAAGGTATTACCAAGAGACAAGTTCGAGCTTTGCAAAGAACTTGTCGACATGCGCTCAAACTAGAATCTCCGGTGTTACCTCCTTCAGGTAAATGAAACTGGAGAGGGAGATTTGTGGGGTCCAGCCCCATGTGTGAAAGTTTGAATTGAGAATTGTGTCTTCTTTGAATGTTGAAAAAAAAATGGAAGACAAATTTTCTTGTGTTTATACAATAGTGAGGTCATTGATGACATCACGTGAGTAATTTCTATGCTATAAATAGCACGATTTTGTTTCAGTTGAAATCACACCAACAAAAGAGAGAAAGAAAGAGTGAGGCTTCACAGACAGAGTATAAGAAAATAGTCTGTGTGAAAAATAGAGAGTGAACAATATTATAGTGAGGTGGGAATATCAAAAGAGGGTTATATCTTTTGAGTGTTGTAGTTGTCTTTGGAGTATTTTACTCGGACCTACAAAGTGTAAAATTCCTTGCTATAGTTATATCGGTTGCTCCTCTCGGGGCCGTGGTTTTTTCTCTTATTCAAAAGGGTTTTCCACGTAAAAATCTTGGTGTCGGTTTTACTCTTTTATTCTTGTTAATTACCGTATCTCGATGCTATGTTATTATTCCGCTTTTATTACCGTGAATATTATTTCTGTAGGGGGTTTATTCCTAACACCAAGGACTGTCTTTGGTGCACATAACAAATACAATTGGGAGTGCTATATTGGTTTGAACTGAGAGATAATCTGCTCAAACATTCATTCATAAATAATAAATAGACTGCTGATATGATCCTAGCACATTGAAACAAACCAAATAACAACCAAACCAGCTGGCTATATTGATTCACTGAATGAAATAATAAACAACTGAAAATTGCAATGAAATAGTAAAAAGGATAGCTGAAAGATAACAGAGAGGGAAGACAGAAATAGACCATAGAAGAAGGATACAGACACTTCGTAACAATTCGCATAAACCTCTTCTTCGTAACCCATAGTCTTTTTTAAGCAGTTGCTAACTGGGTTTGGATCCCAAATAAAACTTTCTAACATTTTACTCGGCTCAATAATCCCAACTGAACGAGCCTAATTCATCAGTTCTAGCCCATAGAGCCTAACAGAGTTAGCGTGGTCACAACACACATTGATGCAATTAGGCAGCATTAGCTCTCTTATCAGCAGCCATCAAAATATCGACGAGACCAAATAGGTGAAATGTTTATTAACATGTTATTACACTGAAGAATGCTAGTATAAGATTTGCATGCCTATGTTTAGGTTGTTATGACTCCTACCACACTGGCACACTGATGTACTAATATTTGAGGTCTTAGGAATTACAATTATTTTTGCTTATATACAGCAATAAGTGTCAAGGTTTTCTTAGAGGAAATCTTGGGTTCCACATATTATCATGATGTTTCTTGTTTCACAAATTTTAATGTATTTTACCAGATCCTGTTCTGACTAAAGTATAGATTCTTAAGACCTTCTGATATTATCCGTTTTATGGTTCAAAGTACGTTTGATAATACCCACTCTATGGATCGGGTAAAAGGATGAAGCACATTGGGTCTATTGGTACGCAGTCTTACCTTGCATTTTTGGTAAAAATTGCACGGGGCGCCTTATTTGGTCGCCTCCATTTAACCTATACTCATATTTTTAAATTTATTTAACCTATACCATAATTTTAACAACTTCAGACGCCTCCTCTTCTTCCTTTTGACCTATGCGTTCGCCAATAGCAGCGCCTAACTTCAGACTCAAATGTCTGAAGTTTATACTTTAGTATCTGAAGATATACCCCATACGTTTGACAATCTTAGCCAAATATCTTAAGTCCATAACCAAATGTGTGAAGTGTATGTCAAAATATCTGAAGTTTATATCAAAATGACTGAAGTTCATAGAAAATTATTTGAAGTACATAATTGAACTGAAGTTTGCCCTTGCTTATGAAGTGAAGTTTGCGTGATTGCCTTTGCAAGTCAGGCCAAACTTCAGGCAAATATATATGAAGTTTTGCTTTGATAAGGCTACACTTCAGGCAAAAAATTCTGAAGTTCAAACTTCAGACATACACAATTGAACTGAAGTTTGACCTTGCTTATGAACTGAAGTTTGCGTGATTGCCTTTGCAAGTCAGGCCAAACTTCAGGCAAAAACATCTGAAGTTTTGCTACACTTGAGGCAAAACATTTTGAAGTTCAAACTTCAGACATAAATTTTTTGTTACTTCAGGCCCGTATGTTTGAGTTACGCGAAAAGTAGGTACGCTTGCAATTTTTTTTTGCAACGCGGATATAAGTTAAAAGGTGACCCAAAAAGCGGGTATAGATGCAAATGTCCCGAATTTCCGCTAAGAGATTATTTTACGGCCCAGAGCTAAAACTTCCTGGTCACAATATGAGCATCGTGTGCAATTATATTTTGTCTAGCAGAAAGTTTAACTGGACAATCCATAAACATAATTAAATCCATAGCAAAGGGCAAACAGAAATACAAGAAAAACTTTTTGATGTTTTTTTTACATAATGTCGCTTAATTTACTTACATGAGCCTCAACAAATCAATCAACTAGCTAAACGTATGATTGAAAAGAAATTCTCAAGCCCATTATTTATTTATACATTGATTGACAAACACTTTTTTTGCTCTTATTATATACTGGGCAGCAGTTTCAGCATCTTTTGGTTACTCAGCTACCTCTTTCTTCTCCTCTGCTGCTGGCTGCTGCTCCTTGGGCTCTTCTTTCACAGCCTCAACTTTGACTTCCTCTGCTGGTTTGGCTGTTTCCTCTTTGGTGACAGTTTCTGTTTCCTCAACAACAGCCTTTGTCTCTGTGGTTACTTCCTCAATCTTGGGAGCCTCTGCTGCTGCTTCTGATACATCTACCAATGGCTCTTCCTTCTTTGTTTCCTCTCCATCTTTCTTCTCCTGATGTTATAATCATGCAAAGAATTATTAATAGAACACATTCCCATATGCATAATTCTCGTTCAAATTCTTATTAGTAACTTATCTGCAATATGTTTCATTTTGTGTTAAATCAAAAAACTACATTAAAGGATTTTATATAGTTAGAGATTGTGGATAGGAAAAATTGGTCAACACTAAGATTCAATCAAATCCTTAATTTTGGCTGGTAGTCCGGTACACTAAACTCGTGGGATCCAATGAATAGCCGGACTATATTGGATTTATTGTGCACAGCCTTACACCATTTATGCTGGAGGAGTTTTTCGTGACCTCTTAATCACATGCTGACATAAACCATTTATGCTATATTGGATCATCTATATATTTTAAAAAATAAAAAAAAGGAGGTGTATGTATATTTATTAGATTGCATCCATTCCAAACTCACTAACATTAAATTTTGAATCCGTCTGAGCAAGAATGCGAGTTAAATAAAAACCATACATACCTGGGGAACAGAGTCACCCTCGGGTTTCTTGGGGGTGGCAGGGTCCTCAGCAGGGACAGGAGCAGGGGCCAAGTCCCTGTCCAAATCCTTAGGTCTGCTCGCACAGGCTCCCATGATTAATGTCTGAGAGGAATGAGCGAGCTAGAAGATGGACAAGAAAATGGATTGAGAGAGTATTAATATGAGGAAATCAAAGGGAAGCTTGAAAACTTGGTTTGAGACTGAATTAAAAAAGTGTCAAAGGAGCTCGTTTTATAGCAAGGCCTTGATTTGTTGTTGTGGACAGAACAAAAGAAGGTTTGTTTTACCGTCGAAACATGCGGACATGTTTGTGGAAATTCTGTAATAAGAGGTGCTGATTGTTAGAGAAAGTGGAGGCCTTGTTTTAAGAGTTCGTTACGACGGTTTGGAAGAGAAATATATTCTTTTCTTAAATTCTTTTGTAGGTTATCATTATTGCTTCTTTTTATAATTTTTCATTTATTTATGTTTTGTCATCATTTGTGGAAAAGGGATATTTCATACATGTAACAATGCAGAGCTATTTAAGGAAAGTGATAAGTAAAATATTTGAACGTTATGATATTTTGTGAATCACGCAACAAACATTTTAGTGTGAGACTCTTTCAAAATATATGACAAGTGGAATATGGGTGATGGGCTTAAGGTCTCTTAGTCTTATGTTTTGCTGATCTAACAAATTTTCTGTATAGAACCAGATAAAGGACCTGATGCATGCCTGGTACAATCATTCTGCAATGAACTCAAGATAATCTCGCAGTGTGCCTTTGGATTCACAAGAACCAGTTTAGGGACCTGATCCCTTGGTGTTTCCCTGACAGAAGTACAAGTCAACTCTACAGCTGGAAAGCAACTGTAGAAAGTGACTGCTTGCAACTGTGCATGCTACAGTGCAGCAGTCACTTCCCATTGGGAAGAGGCGTGTACCAACCAAGAATAGACATCATCCTTGGGATGTCTTTTGAAGTACAATAACATGGTGTAAGGCAACAAGATATTCACTTGAGCATTTAGTGATATTCTGTCAAGCATTGAAGATCTGATTCAGCATTAAAGTCACAAGTGTGTCAAGAACAAGAAGACAACTCCACTACGGACCAGTTTCACTATGAGTCTATGCGTGTCCTTAGTTGAGTTGCAATCTTGTTTTTTGTTCTTCATTGTAACTCCTATCTTGCTTTTTTAGAATCTTTGTTTTAGGAAACTCAAAATCATAAACCATCTGAGTTTGTATTGTGACTAGAGTTAGTCATAGGTTGAAGTCTTTGTAACTAGTGAGTGACAAAGTGGCTTGTGATAAGTATATTACAAGTTAGAGTGATTGAAGTCTTTGTAATAGAGTCATTACAAAGTGGCTTGTAATAGTATAGTTACAAGTTAGTGAAGCTGAAATCCTACCAGTGTAGGTCGTGGTTTTTATCCCCTTGAGTTGGGATTTTTCCACGTAAAAATGATGTGTCTTATTTACATTCTAATTCAGTAGTTAGCACTGAGGGAACTGATATAAGACAAGGTCTCTATACAGTTGGTGGACTCATATAAACTATCAATTGGTATCAGAGCGGGTTCTTTCTAAAAGGTTAACACCTAGAAAGGATCTCAATGGTTGCTCCACCTAACTTTGAGGAAGGATAATCAACCTACAAACCTCCTAGATTCAATGGTCAGTATTACGGCTGGTGGAAGACTCGTATGCATGATTTTATAATGGCAGAAGACTCCGAGCTGTGGAACATCATTTGTGATGGTCCACATGTTCCTATGAAGAAGGTTGGAGAATCTGGAGTGATGGTGCCGAAAACCAGAAAAGAATACAGCGATATTGACAGAAAAGCTGTTGAGAAGAACTTTCGTGCCAAGAAGATCTTGGTATGTGGTATAGGACCTGATGAGTACAATAGAATCTCAGCCTGTCAATCTTCCAAGGAAATATAGGAAGCATAGCAAACGGCACATGAAGGAACTACTCAGGTTAAATAGTCCAAGATTGACATGCTTACCACCGAGTATGAGCTTTTCAGGATGAAAGATGATGAGTCTATACAAGATATGCACACTAGATTCACATCTATCATAAATGAGCTTCATTCACTTGGAGAAATTATTCCTAGAAACAAGCTTGTGAGGAAGATTCTCAGTGTTCTACCTAGCTCTTGGGAGAGTAAGGTGAAAACCATCAGTGAAATCTAAAGATTTACAAACTCTAACCATGGATGAGCTGATTGGAAATCTAAAGACATACGAGATGAAAAGAAAGAAAGACAGTGAAAGAAGAGAGCCAAAGAAGGAGAAGAACCTGGTGCTCAAGGCTGAAAACAATTACTCAAGTGAAGAAGATAGTGATATGGCCTATCTCACTACAAGATTTCAAAAGATGGTTCGAAGAAATGGTGGTATACCAAAGAGGGGCAGTTCAAGTAAACCAAGGAACTATGATCTCTGTCACAAGTGCGGAAAGACAGGGCATTTCATCAAAGACTGCCGAATTCTGAAACAGGAGCATTATAAACACAACTCTGACAAAGCAGCAAAAAGGAACCCGATTCCTGACAAACGATTCAGCCGAAAAAGTGCAGCTGACAATGTTGTGAAGCAAGCTCTTGCTGCATAGGGAGACTCCTCCAGTGAATCAGAAGGGGAACCAGATGCAGGAAACAATTCCATGATGGCAGTTGAAAATGAAGCAAAGGAATATGATTCATTGTTTGCATTGATGGCTCAGTCCGATGATGATTAAGAGGATGACAATGATGAGGTAAATTTTAGGATGTTCAGAGAAATTTGAAGTCCTACTCTTATAAGAAATTGATGTTATTAGCAAATGTTCTAATTGATGCATATTATAATCTTGTTAATGATAAGGATGCCTTGACCATAGAGCTAGGAGATGCTGAACAATCTAGAGATAATCTGGTGGTCTGTGTGGTTGATTTAAAGGAGACCATAGGAAATCTTGAAAAAGAAAAAGAAGTTCTAACTAGAAAAATAAATAGTGTAGAAAATGAGAGAGATGACTTGATGGTAGTGGTTGTTGACTTAAAGTAAACTATAAACAACCTTGAGAAAGAAAAAGGAGTGCTAGCTGGAAAGATTAACAGTGTAGAAAATGAGAGAGATGATCTGACGGTAGTGGTTGTTGACTTGAAGGAAACCATAGAGAACCTTAGCAAAGAAAAGAATACTCTAGCAGAGAGAATTGCAGCTACTGAGCAAGAAAGGGATGACTTTTTTGTGGTAATCACAAACCTAGAGGAAACAATTGAGGGACTCAAATCAGAACATAGGCTTTTAAGTATTGAGAAAGGGAAGGAAGTAGCTAGTGAGACACACATCAAGCTTGAAAAGGAATTAAATGATGTGAAAACTAGTCTATGTGGTGAACTCGAGAAAAATAGGCAACTTCAAGCTGAATAGGAGAAAGTAAAAATTGATCTTGAGAAATCTCTTAAGTGGACCCGGTCCTCAGATACCGTCACTGCCATGTACTTCAACAATAGTGGAAACAGGCAGGGAATCGGGTTCCAAAAGGAGAAAATTCCTTACAACTGATCACGCCCAACTATGCCTTCAAAAAAAGAACTCTGCGGACGTTGCAAATATAACCCGAGTATTATGCCCATGGTCGAATCCACAGAGAGTTAACCTATCAACCGCTATCTTCAAACCCACCAAGTATTCAGCACCAGCTTCTCAAACATTCAAATTCTCAGTTGAGTGTTCTTTAACAACTAGCTTGCAAGTAACTAAATGGCTGTAACTAAATTAATAAGGTTGTAAACAATTATGGGACAAAGCTAAGGCAATGATTTCCCCTATTGATGGAATCCCACCTGTTTATGCTCATACAAATTTACCCACTCATCTCTATCAATCTTGAACGCTAATCTTACCGCAAATCTCTCCCGGGTAATCACAGTAATCTACTATTGCACTCTCCCGAGATACACTAGCTTGCTTTATTTAGCACAATTCAATCTAGATTGCACCCAAGACTTTGTTATTCTTAATCCCGCCTTTAAACCCGCAATTATAGATTCCTCTAATAATCTAGGAGTGGTGTTGTTCAACAATACCCTAAATATGCACTCTTTTCCAAGTTATGCACACTAAATAGGTACAACTAATTGAGGATCCTGTCAATTAACTACAAC